GCCGGAAGTTTGGAAAGTGTAGCAGAACGCGGCACCACCTGCGCCAGCGCAACTGCACGCTGCGACGGTCAACGTGCCAGGATGGTTTTGTAGAGACCGGGTTCCGCGCCGCGCGATGCGGTCGTCTGCAGTGCCCCCGCTGGCCCAGCACACATCCGCTCACCCGGCTGGTTGCGCGTGCGCCATCGAAAGGGGCGCCCTGGCCGTTCTTTGCCCGGCCCTCCGCCCCCACAGCGACTGCAGAGGTTTTCTACTTTTTGGTGTTGCTGGGATCCGGGGTGCACTAAGTGCTCCTATTGTCTGCGGGCGCATCGCGTGCCGGGTGGGCTGTGCGTGATGTGGGGGCGGCGGGTGCCGCCCAAGCGGTTGCTCTGCTCTCGGGCCGCTTGTTTAGCAGCCGGCGTTTCGGGCACCCGGAGGCGCGGCCAGACCCGTGCCCCAGTGGCAGGACGGCGTCGGGTTGAGGGAGGGCGGGGCGGCGGCGTGCCCCGGGTGCGGGAAGCAGCGCGCGCCGTGGTGGGTGCCCCGGCAGGCAGGGGTGCGCCCCCCAGCAGCCGCTGTGCCGCTGGAAGGCAAATATGTCGCTTGCAGGGGAAGGAGGAAGGGGTAGGGGGAATGCGGGCGCGCGCGCCACCTGCGCCCTCCATGGCGGTGGGCGCTTCGCGCGATGCACTCCGGAAGTGCATGGGTGCGGCGCACGGTGCAAATTTTGTTCGGGCCAGTTTCACCGTGCCCGGGGCCAGCGTCCTGTCAAACTAATTTTTGTTGACTCGGAGAGGCTGGGGAGCCTTCTCTGAAGGGTTCCTTGGCGAGAGGCGCAGCATCCGCACCGCTTCTCTATCCGTGCCGCTGGGCGAACGGTAGACATTGATGCCGACGGATTTCACGACAAGGGGGTGCAAGGTGGAGAAAGATGCCGTGGTTTCGCAGCAGCCTGAGTGAGGAGGCGCCGGGGCACATTTTATTCTGCTGTGCGTGTCTTGCGGCCTGGCGGCGCAAATTAGGCTTGGAGAGATTGGGGGTGCCCGAGCGTTGCTTTGGTTGGCTGCTGGCTCGGTTCCTTTGCGGGGTGCTCGGTCACCCAAACCCTGGTTTGCCCACAGCCTGCAACAACGCGGGCGGCGGCGCCAGCCTGCTAAAGGAGAGAGTGCCGTGAGTTTTATAGTTGACATTGTTTTGCTACGGCCCGCACTCCCACCAGGACGCAGTACTATGTACCCCAAAAAAGTATATCGTGTTTTCTTCGCTTCAGCCACATCTCCGAGAAGCAAATGACTCCGGGAAGAGCGCTCAAAGTTAATCTCCGCACTTTCGCAAAATGGTGATAACGCAGATGCAATCGACTCATTGGAATGATGACATTACACCTGCGGATGTGAAACCGTTGCGGTTGAAGGAAAAAAAACACAATAAGGCACACACAACGCAGTTGAGGGCGAGTGCAAACAAAAATAAGGATGCTCATAAATTCCTTCGGCGACCTCCCAGATTCTTGATCAAAAAAGCAAGACCAAACACAACAAAAATTCATATCTTGGGTGGAGTCATTGTTCACTATACAGTATGTGATACGCCTGCCAGCCAACGCAGGTATTATTGATCTCAGATATAGGTTTGGTAAACCGACATCATCGATGACAAAAGTGGCAGCTCAGTTTGCCCTCCTGTGGTTGAAAAGGCAGTAAAGAAGCAGAAATACATGGTCTAGAGAAGAAATATTCTTTTCCGCCTATTTCGTGAGTAGTTACTAAATTGTAGCCGTGAAGGCGCTTTT